TTAGGTCAATATATCATTGTATCGACCTCATACAAAGGCTATAATTGTATAACATGGAACCGAAAAATACATAGTTCGGCTGAAACATGCTCCTTTATATTAGTATTTAGTGCAAGAAAACGTTTGTGAATTGTTTAAGACAGACCGGAAGAATCGGGTTTTCTATGTGCTTTATATCTTGTACCTTTGCAAGACTTGTCATTCATATTCTTCAGCAGGGGACATTATTCCTACTCTAAACAAACAAGAATACTGCTTAATACCAGATAAGCAATAGTATTTTTTAAATTTCATAGAATACTCCTTAATATGGGCTACAGTATTTAGTGGACAAGCAGTATTTTTAAATTGATTTAATACTTAGTAAAACCACAATTATTTTGATAGCCAATATGTTTCCATCAAAAATTACATATGCTCATTGGTAAACGGACAGAAAGTCACAGGACATAAAGTCACAAATTTGAAAGGACAAAAAGTAACAGGACAAAAAGTCCCAAATAATGTGTTGACAATTGTTCGAATATATAAGAGAAAGATCTTACAATATTTCCTAGGATTTTTCAGTATACGGATATGGATAGTAAACTGCACATTGCTAGAAAACAAAGAAATATTGATGCCAACGTTAAAAACGTGAGTAATGTAATTCAAATAGACAGGAAATACGAAAAAAAGATTTAAAAAACAAAAATAAACAAAATTTTAATCTGCAAACCGAGTCCCTGAGGTAATTTTTTAGATTTTAAAAACGAACTTAGTGTGCATTTCTTTCTAACCAAAGTTTGGTAAACGTTGTGTGCCGTTTGTTATAGTTTGTTAAACGTTACAAAAGTAGAAACAAATGCATCGTTTAATCAGTGTTTACTGACCCTGTTTGAACTGTGAAAACGCATGCACATGTTGTTGGTATTTGAACTTATTACGCGGGGAAAATAGCCTCCGTATAAGATGTTATAGACACAGAGGACATCGCTCCTCTATGCATATTTAATTTTTTTGGCAGTTCTTCATCTTCATCAGATAAATGTATGAAGATAGTGATGATAAGCCTTTTTATTGAAGATAATAGAAATGAAAGAACGGATGGTAATACCTAAATTTTAGTAATTTTAGACATTGTTTTGAGTTATGACAAGCAAGAACATACATTTTTTTAGTGCGAAATATATGTTTAGGTATTGATTAAATGTTTAAGTTAGAAAGAAATTCATCGTTTGTACTAACAAACGACGAACGACAAACTATAGACGCATTTGCAGCGAGTGTATAGTTTGTCAAAGTTTATGCAAACTTTGCAAACGTATGTTAGAAACAAATGATCTAAACGTGTGCTCGCTGAACCGTTTGTATCGTTTGTGTAAGAAAGAAATGCGCTCTTAGCGAGATATTCGTTATTTTCATAAAATAATGCGGGCACGTGTCAACGATTACACAACTACTCAGCCGTGAATTATACAATCAACAAAATTGATTGGATTATCCTTATTGCTTATGACTATAATGTTATGAGAACAGTGTTTTGAATAAAATAGAATTAATTATACATGTTCAACGATGTTTTTGAGTTGTTTCTGAATTGTTCCATGTTATTAATACTTTAAGGGTAGTGCGTTTTTGTGATTATGGAGAACAAAATATATGATAAATGATAGAAACAAAGAGGAAAACAGAGTCAAATTCATTTTTCAAAATTTATTTTCACATTGAAATATACTATTCATTGATTCTATAAACCCCATCAAGACCCTCACAATGTTGATTGAGCTGATGCGTTCTGTATTTTGAGGTATGAGAGATAACTAGTACTGCGTGTGAGTCCTGGAAAATAATGCGGATTGGTCTGTTGTTTCAACAGATGAATTAATCAACAACATCCTGTCATTGTTTATTGAACCTGAATGACCACCTAGGGTATACATCGATATCCTGTGACACGAGTGTAATCTATTGAATAACTTATCAAATTGCACATCACTAAGTTTAAAATTACAATTAGCAGTACAATTCAACTAATTCAACATTTTGAAGTCTGATGATAACTCCACCTATCAGAATTTAAAACAAGACACTTGATTAACGTCTCTATAGTATGCAAGAACATAAAATACCATATTGCAATTCTGACAAAAAGAAACATACTATACGAATAACAACAGCAACAAATAAAACAGATAACATAACAATTATCATAATGCATCAGTAGCAGGTAAACACTATTATAATGAGACTACAATAAATTGCTTTTTTCTTTTAAAAACATTGAAATATAGCTGTAAATCACATGCTGATATCATGTACCATAGATTATACATCTATGCATGTACTTAGTTTTGTTTCGTTTGGTTTTCTGCTGTTTTATATATCGGAATGAAATTATTTCTAAGTACAAATATTTTTTACATACAAATAGATAGTGAAGTTAACCTCCTTTAGTGTTTCTCTATAGAATGATGATTAATTCTGTTCTCTGATAGGAAATCCGACAAGTACACTGTTTCAATTAGAAACTAGTTATTTAAAAGTATGTAAATTTATATGATTAAAAATTGGAAAAACGATTTTCTTTCTCAAATCTTGTGGAGTCCCCTGGATATCTTAAACTTTCTCCTCTTTTAACAGAACATCAAAAGCATTTTCCTCGGACAATTGTATCATTCAAGTTGTTTAGTTCTTATAGAATAGCTATACATACCTTTGTAATAGCAAAAATGCGAATTTGTATAGAAAATTTTATTTTAGAAAAAAAATCAAAATCATTCGAAAAAAAAACACCAATTTTTTATAACCCGATTAATTCACTCCTCGCCATATCGATATCTCCTACTTATGACGTATCCGTCATAGAGCACAGAAATATAAAGATTGAATTAGTAAATATGTGTCTTCATTTTTTTCTTCTTCAGTCAACGATTAGTAAGACACAAGACACAATTCAAGTTTCTTTTCCTAATTTTAAAATCAATTTTAAAGCATTCTGAATATTAATAAAGTAGATGTGAGATATTCAATGAAACAGCAATCAAGATATATTACAGATTTTCAACATTCTTCAATCATGATAAATAAAGCAGCCAAGATATTTGAGTGCACTCTTTTTTTTATTGATAAATTTTTTTGTGCTTAATTAAAGATTGTAAAGTGCCGATTTTTTTTCTGCATAATACTTTTGATATGTTCGCAATTTAAAAAAAACCCTTTGCCTCAGTAATTTCAAGATTTTATAGTGTATTATTTCACCATAAATACAAATTTTATTGTCAATTTAGCGGTATTTCTAACATTGCCTATGAGAGAGAGATTTGGCTTGCCATAAAACCAGGTTCAACCCACCATTGTTAAATTGAATTGGATTCACTGTAACTCCATTTACCGGTAAATTTCATTAATCTCTTTGACAAAAAAAAAACCCACCTTTCTCCGACATGGATTTTTTACCTTTAAAAGCTTAAAAATTACCATAGAGCAAATTAAATGGATGATTAATATTGACCATTTGGTATAGGCATATGTCCGTTTTCAAAGCGATACGTACATGCAGGACATACATTATTTTGTTGAATAAAATCAAATCTACAAATGGGTGCCGTAGGAGGACCACTGGAGTTTTGAGCAAGGATTTCTTGGCATGTAACAGATCGAAAACTCGGGGTAATGATATTTCATGTATGTTTGAATACATGGAGGGTTACCCCGGCATCCTTTGCAAAAAAAAAAAAATTTCTTCTATGTGCCTTCGGACTTTATGTTTTGAATTGTAGTTCCACTTTCCATATTCGGTATTTATTCTGAGTCAAGTGCCTGTGCGGAGACTCCAAGCAGACAACACGCATGTGTATCACGGCATTGTAGATTTTCTTATAAAATAACGAGAGTTGCCGGTCCGGTACATGAATAGATCGGTTAGAAAGCTAGGTTTTAATTTTTAAATTAATTAGATTGGAAAGTTTAATTCGAGGGTTGAAAATAGAGAGCGCAAAAAAGGGGGTTGGGGGTGTTCCACAGGGAATATTTTAATTTTATAAACGCTACATTTGAAAGGTTTATATTTTTCTATTTAATGTTTAACTAGTAATTGATGCCGTAGGAGGTCCATCGGAGTTTTGAGCAAGGATTTCTTGGCATGACAAACAATTCCAGATGTTGGTCCGAGAAGCGTGAACACACCGACCTGACCAACATAGAATTTCCGCTGACCAATGTCCTAACTGAGTGAAAGATACAAACATTTTATAAACATAAAAAGATAACTTTAAATGTTTAACATATAAGGATTATATATTATTTTCAAAGAAAACAAATATTTGAGAAAATATTTCCAAATTTGAGAAAAAATTTCGAGTTTTATTTTAGAAAAAAACATCATATAGAAAACAAAACACAAAATACATTTACAATCTCAAAATTTTAAGGGAGAAAAAAGAAATTGCAAAAATTTACCGGTAGCCTATATTTTAAGGTTCGTTCGTTCGGGTTTTTAGTGTAACCTTCGTCAATACATGAATAAAGAACCCGTGTTTTAAAAGCCTCTAAATGCACAAAAAATGTAAACAGTTGTGTTCAATTTTAATATATCTGCTTGTTATATCATTCCTTATCGTGGAAATTGTGTTGAAACTGTTTATTCGAGTATATTTGGGTATATTGGGGTAAAAAGTCATTTTGTGATCGTAAGCGGCTGACATGAACAGAACAAGTTACGAGGGAAAAAGTGATTTAAAATTAAATATATTCATAAAATAAAGTATTAATGTCGTTAAAATAACATTTAAATGCCTAGTGTAACATTGTTATTCAATCAAATTATGTTTAAACTGCTTTTTGAGGTATATTGGGGTATGTTGGGGTATATTGGGGTATATTGGGGTAAAAAGTCACGCCGTCGGCTTCGCCTGGTCTGTTCGTCGTGCAAAGGTGTAAATAAGTTTGGATTTGGTGCCTTAAGCAGGCAAAAATAGAAATATAAATGAAAATAAAAAGGTAGAATAAATTGCCATTACTAGATTGTTTTAAATTGGATATCATATCACAGTCACAGTCTTGGTACAGTCAGAACACCACCGTGACCATATCTTTTCTTTGTATATTAATGGGAGATAACTACGGTTAAGAATAAATACTGGGGATAATCTCAAAACCAAACATTTTAGTTAAACCGAGTGATATGATATCCTAAGTTTCTGACACTTCTTTTTCGTAAGCGTTCTTAAAGGTGCAATTTCAAGCGTATTGTGAATTATATCAAGGACTATTATACTAATATATCAATATAATTATTGTCCAGCCATACCAATAGTTTAAAGAGTAATAATAGCAGTTATTAAGTAAACAAAAAGCTGGGCTCCAATAAGATCTTTGTTTATTATAACAAAAAAAAATTAAAAAAGAAAGACAATCGATACTAACTGAGAGATTAAAAGCCATTAGTTGAAGAAAACTATACAACAGCAAAAATGTATGAAAGTTCGTTTTTCAAGTTTTTTTCAATTCAAAATATTTTATTGTTCAAATATAAAATATACATTAAAACAAAGGGATTGGACTAAAAAAATATATAATTGATACGGGATATTTTTTCAACTTCGGCAAGTTCCCCTCCCAAAAAAAAATCCCTATATTTTTTTATGATCGAACTCATCCGATATTTCGATTAGTGTAAACAGAGACATATATACACATATGTGTATATATGTCTCTGGTGTAAATCAACCTTCATACAAATTTGAAGAGGGTATGATGAAAAAATAAAGATGCTATCCCAGCGACAAGAAGTAAAATTGTCTCCCAAAAATGGGGTCCCCATTTAAGTTTTCTGATTATTTAATTAGGTTTACTTAGGTTCTGTTACTGATACAGGAACACTGGGTTCCTCTTCATCAGTCTTTACATCTAATTCTTCTCCATTTCCGGTGATGGCTGCTTTATAGTCTTCATACATCATTGTTTGGTTCATTCAATATTAATCAAGTCTATTTTTAAATGTATTAGTAGTTGGTGATGTCACTATATTGCTACGGTCTGGTAACGTGTTCCATGTTTTTACCACTCGTAGAGCAAAGGCATTCCTCTTAATTCTGTTCTGGCTCTCTGTGGGAAGATTTTCAGACTGTTGCCTCGTACCCCTGTTCTTGTGGACCGATATCCTACTATTGAACTCATCCTTGGTTTTGACGAGCGAAAACTTTCATCTAACTTTAAAGAGGATAAATAACAGAACTTGATATTACCGGGTTATTTTAACAAGTCCCCAAAATTGAAGAGGGTAATAAAAACAAAGGCTCTCAGAATGCGACAGACGGACGGATCAAAAACCTTTTGCCCTAATTCTTCGACGATTCATACAAATCAATTAAGAAAGAAAGATAAACGGTTTGCCTATATATCATCTAGAATCACTAAAGATACAGATTCCATCACTGATACGAGTGCAAAACGATATTTCTTCTTTCTCGGCAGCTAACTTTTTAAAACACTCGGCAAGACTCACGTTTTGAATTTGAAAATTTAACTGTCTCAAATTTAGGCATTGTTGCGGAAAAATTCTCTGAAATATGCAGAGAATTTGTAAAATCACAAGCAAATTTGACAATTTTATCACGTAAAATCCCTTAATTGTTAGGAATTTATAAAATCGCAGACAAAATTGCTAGGGATTTTCTTAAATCTCTAACAAGCTGTTTAAACCATATGAATGTCACGAATGTGTGTGTGGTTTTTTTTTTTATATTAAGAATCATAACTTTAAACTATCTTTTGTATCAGACATTATAGGTTGGAAACGGCTTGTTTAAATACTGTAATTATGTGTAAAAGGCATGTTTCACTGTTACAAAAATTAATCGACGTAATTATTTTTGCATGATATAAATAAAAATAAGAAGACGTTGTATAATTGCCAACTTTCCACTAGAGACCAAATGACGTAGATGTTGGCAACTATTGATCATCGTACGACCTTCAACAATGAGCAAAAACATATCGTATAGTAAGCTATAAAAGGCCCCGACATGACAAGGTAAAACTATTCAAACGGGAAAACTATAACGACCTGATTTATATACAAAACAATAAACGAAATATAGCTTGCATTACTTCTACAGTTACACAACTACCCTACCTACGTTAGATCTAGAACCTGTTCGTTCTCAGTTCAAGTTTTGTTTTGAAACTCTTCCAACGCAAATGGCAGATAGTTTAATTGCTTGACAAAAAGATATATGAATCATATTATTCAACCTATACCCACAGAAGTTTATAAAAACAAATGCATATCCCCACATCGAAGATATTCCTACATACATGTCCATTTAACAAAATTTATGATTCAACTTTCTTTGAATTTTGATGTAGGATGCACTTAGTTATAGAAAATATAGAAAGTAATGTGCAATTTTAATAATATCTGGTGATCTTATGTGCTTCTATGCAATTTAATAGCTTCAGATATTACGGTATCCAAGATATGACTTTAACCAAAGTAAGTGACCACAGGAAAATGGTTAAATCGATCGGCTTTTTTCTCAATTATGACCTGTCTATAAAAATGCATGTCCATTAGCATGTATTTTGGTTCATAAATCTTCTTGATTTCACTGTTTTTGCCTTTACTATTATCATACTTTTGTTGGTAGACATTACTTTAATTATGGAGTTCAAGACTAAAAAGACAACAACTTACTTACTAATATTTAGATTTTTTAATCCACCTTTGGTTTATTTCATTTTCAGAGAATTAGTGTTAAAAAAATCTAGGTACAGCAAGTCCAGAAAAGACTCGGAAGACGTTTAGTTTATCAAATATGATGAAATCCTGGACACAAAACAGTCAACTAGTTTCTGTTGAAATTTTACTGATGTGTAAACCTTTTCTGCATAGATTGACCGGACTATAAGCAACCAGCCACCGATTTAAAATACCATGTTTTCAAGGGATAAATATGAAAGCAAAACAATTAAACAATACATTGTTGACACAGAGATATGTATCACCTCTTTAGCTCACCTGGGCCAAAGGGCCAAGTGAGCTTTTCTCATCACTTGGTGTCCGTCGTCGTTAACTTTTACAAAAATCTTCTCATCTGAAACTACTGGACCAAATTTGACCAAACTCGGCCACAATCATCATTGGTGTATTTAGTTTAAATTATACAAAGTGATGCCCCCACACTCTACTCTGAAGTTACTGTTTTATAACAAAGTCAATGTAGGACTTTCTTTGAGATATTATTGTGTCTGGGAGACACAAATGATGCCCCCGCAGATGCAAAGTGTTATTTTAAAATACACAAAAATGAGCATGGGAGCACATAGGTCTATGGTTCACTGTAGGAGGATTTATCCGAAAACGCTATGCACCTCTTATGCAAGTAAATACTCCAAAAAATGACAAATTTCAACTACCTCCCAAAAGAGCAAATGTTAATAAAAATCAAAACTCTGACCACATGCACACCTTTAATATATATGTACAAACAGCCAGCAAAGTGAAAACTTCCTAGTATCTAAACTGTAGGAGGAGTTATCTGGAATAGCTATATATACCCATAATGGGACGGAAGGACGGAAGAACGGACGGACGGACATGGGTAAAACAATATGCCCCTCAACTTTCAGTTGCGGGGGCATAAAAATGTGTCCAATGACCCCGCCCGCCAACCAAGATAGTGGTAAAATGCCATTTTGTCTATTATTTTGAGAACCGTTAAAAAAAGAGAAATTCTCTACCTATTGTTCATTGACGTCAATACTGTCAGGCGACTTCTTATAGGAGTTATTGCCCTTAAATGACAAATTTTACCATTTTTTTTCATTTTTGCCTTTTATCTTGAAAACTATAATAGATAGAGTGAAACTTTAAGTTGAAAAATGATCAGCAAGTCAAGATCTACGAATAAGTATGCATTGTCAAAATCATCATTCATCTCCTAATTAGAGTTAATGCTCTTTGATGACGATTTTTACCATTTTTTTACGTTTTTGCTTTATATCTTAAAAATTATAATAGATAGATAGAAACTAAAAGAAGCAAAAATGATCAGCAAGACAAGATCTACATTTAAGAATCCTCATTGGAGTTATTGCTCCTCAATGACGATTTTTAACATTTTTTTTGCGTTTTGACTTATATGTTAAAAATTATAATAGATAGATAGAAACTTTAAAAACCAAATAAGATCAGGGAAGATCCACAAACAAGTCAAATTTTGCCGATATAGTTAGTAGACTGTCACTCTTCATAGGAGTGATTGTCCCTAAATGAGGATTGTTTACCCTCTTTTGTGTTTTGAGCAAATATCAAAAAAGATAGAGAGAAACTTAACAGACAAAATGATCAGCAATACAAAATCAACAAAAAAGAAATTTTTGTCATGAGTTCTGTTCTTGTCTACAATGTTGGAGAGACGGTCCATTGCTGATTATGCAAATATAGACCTAGGCAGAGATATATAATACAATTGTATTACTGTATATGTTTCTGACCTTGGTGAGCGACATAGGTTCTTTAGAGCCTCTGGTTGTTATTTTGATAGTATAATGCAAATGTTGAATTACATGGCAGTACTTAAACATGTAAACTATACACAAATTTCAAAGTCACTGAACAATGACTGACGGTTCAGGACCAAATAATCTCCATGGAAATGAGATACACCAATGCTTATACAATCCTAATACAACTGAATACCAAATATCATGTAAATTGGCGCAATCGTATATTAACGTATTGACGCATATGATACTAGGTATTTAAAATTTTGGCGTAAAAAGATTTCTCCCGTAAACTTTATAACATACCAACGTCGATGAACCTTGACTGAGGGGATAGGGCCTTATAATCTCCATCACGGAAAATGACATGTGCTAATTATATTACAACTGTTTACCAAATATCATTGATTTACCATTATTGTTCATGTTAAACTGAACTAATCAAAAACTTTAACTTGCAAACTATGCAAAAGATCATGCCCAAAAAACTTCATGGAAATGAGATGTATCAATGCGAATACGAAACATCAGCATTTCGAAACCTTTGACAGAATAAACATGTATAATGTTTACATTGTTCCATGTTTCAAGATTCTTGCTTATATTATCCTGGATGTAATGTCAGGAAGACATGTTACCCTTCAGTGAATGTTACACGTTTTTACATCGGATGTGACCTTGAGAGGTCATATCAGTGTTATGTTGCCGCAGAAATTTCTGAAAATAGTCCCTTGCGCTTTTGACTGATAACCGAATGTATATTGTATAAATACGGGGATATTATCGAGTGCAAAATAACATTCCTTATCGCGTGTTATAAATTCATTTCTTCAATGAATACTCATGAAAATATCTTTTAAGAACATGCATAGATAAATGATATGAAAATGTTTTGCCGTGAGAAATATATATATATATATCAGTAACAAATCATGAATACCGAAAATCTGTGTTAACGCATGCGGAAGAATATCTCGCGAGATGATCTGCTATCATATAACTGTTATAAAATTATTAATATAATATATAACAACAAACCAGATTATACTGATAACAAATGATTATATCACTACAATATAATAACTATTACGGTGAGGTTGAATTCCCTGTCATTTATTCATCATCCACACAGGAACTTGTCTCAGAAAAAATATATCTATGTACCTTAACCTAACTTAAAGGCTTTCGGGAATAGATATGATTTCTTCTGAGACCATCCACCAGAACTTGCGGTCATCCGATGTTCCGTTCTTCATTACTTTGATTCTTACTAGAAGGAGACCATTAAAATGTCCCGTGCTTGGGCAGATGCAGCAAATACAAATGAAATTCAGGTTTTTGTATTGAACTCACAGGTACGAGACGAGATTTAAAAAAAGAATTATGTATATATACCGAATACATTAACTGTATGCAGTATATATACTTTTTTTTTTAAATCTCGTCTCGTACCTGTTGATCATTGACTTAGGCAAAATGCAACATTTTTTATTACAATAATTCTATTTTAAACATCACAAACATGATTGTATAAAATTTCATGACCAGTGTATAAAATTTTATGACCAGAATTTTCATTTTTAGTCAAAAACTCAGATTTAATCATACAATCTCCGAAAATAGGAAACCGAAAATTTGTCAAATGTAACTCTGTTTTAAACATAACTAGCATGATTGTATACGGAAACTGACAACATTTCATAACTAAAAATTACTATTTGAGGCAAAATTAAGATTTTTATCATGAAAATCTGAAAAAACAGGAAACCGGAAAATTGTCAAATGTAATGCAAATTAAGATTTTTTTTGTCAATATTTTCCAAAATATATACTGAGTATCAACAACATATTAACTTTCAAGAATAAAATGTATGGCTTTAAAACTACTCGGGAGATTTGATCTTTTCTTCTTCTTTTTTGACAATGGTTTTACTTTCTTCATTTTAACAAAAAAAGGATTCGTATCGAATATTACAAACATTGCTATTTCGAATAACTTTATTTGTGTACATATCATGTACTGTCAACAAGTGTCCGTTTACCAGTACTGTCAAGACAAGTTTACCAGTACTGTCAAGTGACCGTTTACCAGGTACTTTAAGAATTTTCTTAATCGTTATCGGTGCTTCAAACCAAAATTATTGGAAACTTGAAAGAGGCATACGTTAATGTTGAGCAATAAGCCCAAATCGTTACCAAACTTAACAATGGGCATGTAATGTTCAGCTGGTATATTTGTATAATTCTAATGTTTCCTTCATGGTGTTCTAGCAACTGAAAAGGTCTGAAAATGAAGCAACACTTTTCGACTTTTTTTAAACTACGTTTACATTCAGAAATAGTTTGAACAGTGATTTCCAGTATCCAGCTTAACTGTTCATTATGGGTCTATTAATCTAACAAAACTGTTGAAAACCAACATATTGAAGGCACCTTATACGCCACTGACAACTATTTGAGCCGATCTCTCATAATTAAAATAAAATTCAAGAACACAACGCAGAAAGGGGACAGGATATCCCCATTCACATTTTGTCTTTTGGGGAGAGTACACTCGGATATTTACAGCCAACTGACCCACATAAATGCAAAAAACTTTACCATTTTCAAACCCATGCATTTTAACAATACTACTACTGAATTTACTGAGTTTTTAACTATGGTGAGTCCTAAAATCTTTTTTGTATTTTTCTTCTTCAATAACGCTCAAACCTAAAAATGTTACATCTAATTGTGTCTAAATACTTGAAAACTATAAAAATAAGGAGATGAGGTATGATTGCTAATGAGACTATAATCCACCAAAGTTCAAATAAAGTAGATGTAAGCAATTATAGGTAACCGTACGGCCTCAGTCAACGATGAGAAAAACCCATACCGTTTAGTCGGCAAAAAGGCCCCGACATGAAAAATATAAAACAATTCAATTGAGAAAACTAACGGTCTAATTCATAACAAAACAATTTACGAAAAACAAATATGACAGATAAGAACCAACGACAACCACTGAACTACAGGCTCCTGACTTGGGACAGGCACATAAAGAACGTTGCGGGTTTAAACATGTTTGTGAGCGCCCGACCCTCCCCCTAACCTGGGATAGTGGTGTAACAGCACAACATAAGAACAAACTTTAAAAATCAGTTGAAAAAGGCTTAACTCATCAGATCGATACAAAGCAGAAAACATCAAGCATAAAACACAGACCGGACGTGGCAGGGTTTTTATCCATCCCTCATCCCTAACAATAAAAAGGACACTAAGTACAGATCTGAGAGTACTCACAGTTACTGACAGCTAGTTCAAAGCCAATAACTAATAAAAAAATATCATGTATCTAAGACTAAAATGTCAGTACACGTCCAACATCCAATGGATTTAGTGTAAATTTAAGACGTCATTGACAAATCAGTGAAAAACATGACCTTGTGCAATGCCAAAATATAGGTATCGACAGATTGTAGTACCGTGAAAGTACATAATTTATTTGTATAACAATAAATTTAGTATTGTTTTAATTTGCTGATAAATTGTGACAATATCAATATTTATACCAATAAAAACAATATTCAAAGATTTAATTACAGTGTTGAATTAGTAACCTTTTAGAATAAGTTTTTTTTAAAATGATTGATAAGTTTACCCGGATCGTATCTTAGTATGTCTCTGGTATAGTATCAGGCCTACTATACAAATCATTGGTCACGTGCTTTTAAAATTGTTTCGCTAATCATGACTTGACAGTATTGTACAATGTACCTTCTTAATTATTACACATAATAAAATTGAAAATCAAATATATTTTTGCAAAGAAAACCATAAAAATACCCATTTTCATTCACCAGTCACGACGATCATAATAGAAGCATCCTGACCCAATCCTATATACTTCGTCGATAGCAAGCAGTGAGCCAGAACCCAAGGCTATTTCATAATATAAGTCCCAAGTGGAAGAACTATTCTGTTATATCAAGGATATGTATAGTTACTATACAAATCCTTGGTTATATCTGGGACAATTAATATATTATGTTTATTCCGCAGGATATTACAGTATTTGGTCCGAGGACACAGTTATCCTCCTTAGATTTATAGTCCCTAGTGTGGCAGTGTATAACTTGCACATTTTTTTCATACATTTTCCAAATTTATTTCTTTATATTTTATGCATGAAATATTAAAAAATGTAAGTAAGGGGATGAAATTACATGTTAAAAAAATTTGGGTACTGAATCTATGTTAAGAAGTGATTTGGTCCAGTTAAAAAAGGTCAAAACTAGTATGTCTGAAGCTGTCAAACTGAATTTTAGACCCCCTTAACATAGAATTGTCAATACTTTGAGATAGAGCAGGTAGACTTTTCTATAATTTTGATGATATTATTTGTCCCAATAGTAGTACACTACACTGTAAAAATCTTTTTGAGATAGAGCAGGTGCGATTTTTTTAATTTGACTTTATTGTCGAAAAGAAATGCACTACGTCTACAAAATACGAAATAACTGTGTTCTTGGGCCATTTGTTCCTCACGGAACAAAATGCTACATAATATCTGGCTGGAACAGATATTATGGAATTGCTTATAGCAAAGTTTCCAGGGGAACTTCTGTTAGGTGGAACAAATATACGTTGACAGATAAAACATCTTTAAAAATTAATGCAAAAAAATAGTGAAATCGAAATGCATATTTACCTTTTGAGATTTGCCCGATAGGTATTCGGAACATTTCCACTGATTTTAACTTCCGTTTGTTCTGGTACTTTATTTTGATTGTTAGAAACTAAAAAGGCAAAAGTTTAATGAACCAGTCCCACATCCGTAGTACAACAACTCAAGCATGAACTTGTCAAACAAAACAAAATTAGACGAAGAGGGATAAAGTTGCACTTTCTGTTTATAAAACATTAACATTTTGCCAATGGATTTTTACCAAAAATAAATAATGGCAAGAAATGGGATGTGTCTCAGCACGAATACTTTTTGAAGGTAATCATTCTTGTTTATATGAAAAGCAGATTTCCACTCACAGCAAAAAAATAAAATATAGCCTTTCAAGACGTCATAATTATTTGAATTACCCTAGACTTTAAAGAAACTCGCGTAAAAATGTAAAATATATTAAAACTCTCTAAATAATTAGAGTGTATATGTAAGCGTACTTTCATTCCGCCGTGTATTTATTCCGGGTAACTGTTTTTCCCTAGAGAATATTGGATGTAAATAGTGTGAAAGCGTTGATCTTGATATCGTAGTTTTGTTTATATTAGACCGGTTTATTGTTAACATAAACCAATGGGTTATAATAGAATGATTTTCAAGGAACCAGTTTAATTAACCTGAGCAAGGATCACTATACAAATCCTTGTTCTCACTATACAAATCCTTGACCTGAGTCAATCCAGTAAATAATATTGATGATGATGAGGAGGATATTTTTATAACTCAAAATACTTTATCAATGATCAGGACATTGAACTTGATATAAACCAAATTTAAAGAGCAGATTTGTTCTTACTTAAAGTTTCAATTATAGAAGCATCCTTTGATATTGATATAGAAGATATGATTTTATATCTAAGTCGACCGAAAAGCAAATACACAGAAAAACTTCGGCAATCCAATTAATATGAATATTACAATTAGTGACAATTTTAAAACATATGATTTTATAGATTTGCATAGAAAAATTACCGTGTTAAATCTTATTCGTTAATAAGCATTATTGTGTTATTGTGTGTTCGAACTGAGTATTAATCACTTCATCAATGTATGGATCTAAAGCACTAGTGTAATTAATCCCGGTATAAAATAACTAGTGCAATCATTCCAATACAAAAACACTAGTGTGAACATTCCTTGGATGAAAACTCCACTTTTTACATAAATCAACTATGCAAGTTTCAAATACACTAAAAACTACTAAGCCACATTTTATATATATTTTCCCTTCAAAAAAACTCTTTTTAAAACCATATAATGACTGGTGAATGTTTTACACTGGACCCGGATGGAAAAACCTAGTGAATTTTTGTTGGTGGATAAAAATCACTGATTATTTTCTTCCTCCGGATTAAGTACACTGGCGGAATCAAACCACTGTTACATATACCATCACAGCTAATGTTAGGAAGGGTTTACTCTTGAAAGATTGTAAACGATATAGTCATAGATACATGTACAACAAAATGTAGCTCCTTCTGTTTGAACAGTCTTCTAAAAGTAAAAAACTCCTAGATACAGTAATATATTAGATGTTCTCAGGGTTATGGTAAAAATAGTTGAAACTGATGGTTGTCAATGGATTTATTGTGATTTTGAGACTGAAACTGGCTGCACCAAGTACATTGTGTACCTGTAAGGGTTTTGGCTATTTCCAAAATTTCTATATGGACTGCTTTCTGACATCCTAACAGTGCCATGACAACAGCAATTCACAAAATACTGTCAAATGTCAGGGCAATCTTCGAGTTAGACTAGCCTGAACCACTTTAATGTGTTTTACAGGTTGTGGACAACCAACTATAAAAAGGGAAATAAGATTTCAAATACAAGTACCTGTAGACAGTACTAGTACATGTAATAGTACATGTACATGTAGTACCACACATGAGTAATAATTAATAGTTCCATAAAATTTTATTTGTTTTTCAAAGTGTTTAAAATGTAAATTGTTTAAATTCCTATGCTTTGAAAGATACATATACATGTGTCTCTTTGGCACTCATACCATATCTTCTTATTTATATATGTAGTAACTCAAATGGGAATTGATAGACAGACTTTTTTTTGTCAAAGTGTTTAAAAGCCAAATTCATCTAAGATCATAGATATTGCATCTCATGTACATGTCTGTATTAAAAATTCTGGGTTGTGTTTCATGTATTTTCCAATTGTACATGTACATCCCTAGACAGCTCAAGTAAACAGCTTTTGACTCGTTTTGAGAATATTTTTCATGAAACAGAGTAAATGTAATTTATAAGTAAATTAAATATTAGTAAATTATCTACTCAAACCTCAGGTTTCCTGTTGAAACTGAACACAGGAACATAATACTTCTCTAACAGAAAGGTTTTGTCTTTTTTGCAATCTTAGATATGTTACAGCAATTGGTGAGGAATTTCAATACTTGTTTCAATGCCAGAACAAACAAATACAACTTCTTGGAACAAAATTTACATATCCCATCTTATAATATTTTTTCAACTCCTAGGGAAGACAAACTACAAGGGATATTATCACTATGTCACAAAACAGTATTAAACAACTTTTTATAAAAAAAAAACGACAAAAAAAAGGTATATTTTTTAAAAAAAATTTCCATATATTACAAATAATAGGGCTTTATTTTATTTAAATGCCACAGTAATATTAGGAGCTACATGACCAAAATGGACTTTTGAAAAGAATAGCAAAATTCATCTAAGGTCTATTGTGCACTTTCGTGTTGCTTAGTCTTTAGTTTTCTATGTTGTGTTTTGTGACTATTATTTGTCTGTTTGTCTTTTTCTTTTTTAGCCATGGTGTTGTCAGTTTATTTTCAATTTATGAGTTTGAATGTCCCTCTGGTAACTTTCGCCCCTCTTTTAACATGTACATTTTGTAGATACATTCTGCTGCTCAAGTTTGTAACTTTTAGACATCAATAACTTGTCAAACCTTCATACAAGTTTATGAAACTTTAGCAGAGGATTTTTATGATTAAGAGAATATGTCATGTATGTCTGAAGCAGAATTTTGAAAATATTTCTTTTATCTAATAAGAGAAATGACCTAATTTGAAAGACTTTGTAAAAAATTCTCATATTCAAAATAATTTTCCCCTGATTGACATTTGTATTAAATTTGTGATTGTCTAATTTCAAAATTTATTAATGATATTTCTCATAACAAAAAAAAACCTTTTAATTCTGAAACTGTTAAATTCAAGAAATACTTTGTTACATTTCTATTGCTGACATGACTGATATAATTATTTCTATTTTATTGAATGTAATGCTATAAATAATTGATAACCATAACAACATAAACTTATTAAACAGAAATAGATCCCATATATCATTACAAAATCACTCTCTTAAACTATTGACTAAATAATTATAGTATCAAGAGTCACGCCAACTGTATTTGTAAACACACGAAAGTAGATTTTGTTCATATGATAATGTAATAGATTAAATTATTATTAACAATAATTCCTACAATAATGTAGGACAAATTACATTGCAGGTGTCTAGAAAGAGTTAATCTGTTTATGGTGATTAGTATCTTGATATTGCACATATGGCAGTGGTTTCTGCTTTTAAATAACTTAGCACTTTGAGAAAGTTTACTAAGTAATTTTTATAATGCAAAATTCAAACACCTGTAGCTTAATCATTGTACATTAACATGTAATAACTTCTAAAACAAAAATTGTTACAGAAGACAGTGCACTAATATTAAAATCAAAAACTGACAGATTATATATATATTGTACAACAGTAAATTTGAAAGGACTATTAAATTGAAGATAATCTCAATTATCAAAGTGAGAATTTTATGAATTTAATGTTGTGTGTTGTCTAGGATCTAATTTTGATATAATTTTGAGAAGTGAATTGTACTTGCATTTATAAATATGTTTTTTTCACTGTACAGATCATTAATTATTTCATTACATACAATGTATACATGTAATAACAATCGACAAAAACACATTCCACATGAAATTCAGTTTAATTTCACATTCAACCTCACCGACACCTAATTATGATTCAAAAGAAAATGAGCATATATAAAAAGTATAAATTTGAACTCCTAGAATATTAAGAAATTTGTTTACAAAAACTTGACCGAGTACTAGTTTAAACTAATATGAATCTCCATTTGGGACTTATTTACCCAGTCGTAACTTGAAGTATTTCACATTGTAAACTATGATAACTTCAAAGATCAAAGTTAATCTGTGCTATAAAATGACATTCACAAGTATCAAGTTCTTGGACAAGACTTTTCTTTAATCAATGCAATAAATCTACAATTTCTAGTCAGGACAGTCTTCATTGAAGTCACGGCAGCTGATGGTTATTAATTTTCTTATCCAATTCATTATTCCTTTTATCTGTATACACAAAGACATTCTGATTTTAAGTTTTGGTAATTGTCGAGCCTGCGACTTTTGTCACAGAAAGCTCGACATAGGGATAGTGATATCGATGCAGCGGCAGCGTTAACTAACTTCTTAAAAGCTTGATATTTCAGAAGGTAGAAGACCTAGATGCTTCATACTTTGATAATAGATGCCTTATGATATGAAGTTTCTGTCTGTCATATGTCCATTGTCCTTGACCTCATTTTCATGGTTCAGTGACTACATGTACTTGAAAAAAAGTTAAGATTTTTTGTAATGTTGATTTCTCTCTTATTACGAGTAATAGGATAACTATATTTGGTATGTGCGTACCTTGCAAGGTCCTCATGCCTGTCAGACAGTTTTCACTTGACCTCGACCTCATTTCATGGATCAGTGAACAAGGTTAAGTTTTCGTGGTCAAGTCCATATCTCAGATACTATAAGCAGTAGGTCTACTATATTTGGTGTATGTAATGATTGTAAGGTGTACATGTCCAACTGGCAGGTGTCATCTGACCTTGACCTCATTTTCATGGTTCAGTGGTAATAGTTTAGTTTTTGTGTTTTTGTTTGTTTTTCTAATACTGTATGCAATAGGTCAATTATATTTGTTGTATGGAAATATTTTACGATGTACATGTCAGTCTGGCATGTTTTATTTGACCTTGACCTCATTTTCATGGTTCATTGCTCAATGTTAAGTTTTTGTGTTTTGGTCTGTTTTTGTAATACTGTATGCAGAAGGTCAACTATATTTGGTGTATGGAAATATTTTACGATGTACATGTCAGTCTGGCAGGTTTTAATTGACTTTGACCTTGTTTTCACAGTTCATTGCTCAATGTTAAGTTTTTTGTGTTTTGGTCTGTTTTTCCAATACTGTATGCAAAAGGTCAACTATATTTGGTGTATGGAAATATTTTACGATGTACATGTCAGTCTGGCAGCTTTTATTTGACCTTGACCTCATTTTCACGGTTCATTGCTCAATATTAAGTTTTTGTGTTTTGGTCTGTTTTTGTAATACTGTATGCAGAAGGTCAACTAAATTTAGAGTATGGAAATATTTATGATGTACATGTCAGTATGGCAGGTTTTATTTGACCTTGACCTCATTTTCATGGTTCATTGCTTATGTTAAGTTTTTTGTGTTTTTGTCTTAAACTTTAAGCAATAGGTCAACTATATTTGGTGTATGGAATGATTGTAAGGTGTATATGTCTGTCTGGCAAGTATCATCTGACCTTGACCTCATTTTCATGGTTCATTGGTCAATGTTCAGTTTTCCTGGTTAACTTTGTTTGTTAGATACTATAAGCAATAGGTCAACTATATTTGATGCATGGAATGATTTTAAGGTGTACATGTCTGTCTGGCAGAGTTCATCTGACCTTGACTTCATTTTCATTGGTCAATATAGAATTTCCATGGTTTGGTCTGTTTCTTTTATACTATAAGCAATAGGTCATCTATATTCTATGTATGGAATGATTGTATTAAAGGTGTACATGTATATCCGGCTTGGTTTATCTGACCTTGACCTCATTTTCTTGGATCATAAATTTTATGTGATACTTGTAGTAAAACTTTATATGTAGGACTATCAACATAAAATCAATGGTCAGTAAAGTAGGCGAGACATTTCAGCGCGTGCACTCTTGTTTAGATTTTGATAGTGTTTAAGTTATTTGACATTGCAGGCACTTGTAGGGTCTGTACTCCAGTTGTCAGTTCAGTGTTAATAACTAATGCATGCAGATACATATAAGGGCCTTGTTATTTAACTGCTGCATCTCTTATCATGATTATGCCTGGAAAAGCTTCAATACCAAAAAAAAACAGATTGTTGACTTGTTTCCTTTTTATATTGAAGAAGAAATAGGCTACTAAGCAAAAATAATAAGCTTCCTCTGCTGCTACATACATGTACATCTTTAAAATCCATCATAAACTAACGAGGGGTTCTAACATCTATTAATGATCACATATATAAGTATATAAGTGTTTGGGGCTTGACACATGTCCCATGTTGCAGTCTTCTCCCCCCTACAAATTTCTTTTGGAATCTTGGTAGACATGGTAAACAAGGAATTTTGAAATACCATCTTGTTTCTAGAAATGATAGCATCACATCCATCCATAACACAATCTTTAAGAAAATAATTTCAGATAGTATTACATTCAAGCAATATTTATATATACATGTATATATTGCTTGAATTATATGCTAATTTAAAATGTCTTTGGGAGAACACTGTGTTGGTTTTAATTAGTATACTTTTTCTGTATTCCCAATTTCAAAAGTTGTCATTGAGGGAGAGAACAGAAATGGCTGATTATATATAAATGGTTACCTTCAACAAAAATGATCATGATGATGGGTAACAATGCATATTATTTCAGTTATGGATGAATTTAGGATATAATAAAAAAAAATATGGAAAACTTGAAATCTTGTTTGTTTTCTTCTTTGATTTACATATATAATGGTTCCAAAATTTGGTGACAAAATCACTTTTTTCTCCCAGGCAATTCTTTATGAAATTATTGAGATTATGCATGGGAATTACCCTGAACCAGTTTAGTGACATTTCTGTTTCACAGTTTTTCACTTAGCAATATATATTATGAAGTGTAGATTTTTGTTGAAACAAGGAATTATTTGAATCGGGAATAATTTTGAAAAATTGTTAAGAAATGTACAATGTATGATGAAAACTAAACTTACTAAGGAGGGTTAGCTAAGGTTCAAGTTACTTTCACTGCTATTTCAGTATGAACTAACTAACCCCTCTTTGCCATGCATGCATGGCTAACCCTCCTTAATTGGGTTAGTTTTCATCATACATTACTTATCAATTTCCAGAATTCAAAATTATTCTGGATTTGAATAATTCCTTGTTTTCAAATAATAGTATACAATATATCAATGACTTAATATCAATATTTTGTAGTGAATTGTTGTCAGGGGTTGTGGGTGGACGGCTGACCTTACAGATGTATAAAGTTTAAATTGTCCACTTTTAATCCATAATCAAACATTGTAACACAGGACCAATGTTTGTTTATCAATGTCTCAATTAAATAAGTTAAACATTCATCATCTTATAAAACATTTAAGTTGAGAAATCTTCTTTAGATCTTAACATGGTGAAAGGGAAACTTTGTCAACATATAGTTTATAATAAACATAAAAAGTCAAGTACAACTATTTTTTATTTATTTTAAAATTATAAAGTATACAGCGAGTGTACTTTTACATTATCATTATGTAATAAACATAAAGTTTAGTGAGTTAGATGTTCCATAATCCATTTGACAATTTTTGTAGTTGGTTGGTCAAAATCTGTTGGATCTATATATATTATGGTGCCATATTAAAATGAGAATTAAATTTGATGTACATTGCATGTACTTCAGCATTATGGTCACACAGGGTCAGAAAATAAAAAAACAAATATTATACAGTCACCAAAAAATGTCTTAAATTAATTGCTGTTTACATTATAGTACCATGATATATATAGGAGTTAACTCATTTTTAAACTGCAGCAAATGTTGTTGAACAATGTTTAAGGCAAGACATTATATTAGTATTATTCTGGCAATGACAGCTATGTCAACTACATGTAGTTTTACAAAACTTTATACATGTATTTTGACATGTTTGAAGGTAATAGATGTCTTATGACTTGTTTATATCAGTTGTCCTTGACCTCATTTTTTCCTCAAGTTTCATGATTATTTTCTCAGAAAGTGGAATACAAATACCAACAGTTAATGAATGAAATAACATAATTAATTTCGTGCTTCTAAAGTGCTTTTCAGGATTAACCCTCATCAAGAATGCTCAAACCCAAACATTTGTGAAAAGCTATACAAGGTATGACCAAAAGGGACATAAAATAAAGCCTAAATAATCATCTTAGGTCAACTTTGCCTCAGGGAGTTGGAACCTTAATTATCTATTAGAGACCAGGTCAGCTAGGCACATGACAACAATTGGACAATGTATAATTACATCATCTCTTGATTGTCCAAACTGAAACAATATGAAGACAATTTCCATTGATAGATTAACCAACTGTGTTTGGTTGTTTGAATGTAGAAAAAGGTGTGCATACCCAGCCCACTTGGTTGTTTGAATGTAGAAAAAGGTGTACATGCCCAGCCCATTTGGTTGTTTGAATGTAGAAAAAGGTGTACATGCCCAGCCCATTTGATAGGGGATGCATGTTTTAAACCTAATTTTCTTACTTCACATCAGAAAGGTCAAGAACATTGTTGTGTTTTTGGTCTGTAGAATCAAGTTTTGTTATAGGTTTCTTCCTGACAAGAGTCACTTGACATTGACCTTATTTTAAAACAGCATTTCAGTGATTAATATAAACAGTTTGTGAAGATACATTTAAATTACTTTCTAAATTGAGTTAGGTACTATATCTGTTGCATGGTACATGTATATGAATGCAATGTTCCTGTGGAAGTTTGACATGTACAGACTGACCTTGACCCTAAAAAAATGTCAATGTATTATTCATTCACAATAAGTTGTACTGGTTGTCTCTGTATGTTCTATTTTATTGGTATGTTAGTAAATTTATAATGTATAAGTCTGATCCTGGTTGGTACATACTAATTCATTTTGTATAATTTTAGACGAAGAAGTCAAGAAACCAATAACGAAGAGATACAAGAACCCTAAACTTATGACAGGGGACATTACAAAGAAAAATGAATCCAAATTAGAGCGAGAACAAGCAATGAAATTACGACAACAAGACCGCATAACTGCAGCAGAGGTTAGAATTATAAGAGTATAAGAAACTTGAAAATCCATAATCTTATGGTTACAAATACATTGTCTTTATACTGTTATTGATATGGAGGATTTATATCAGAGAATCTGTACACAAAGAAACAGTCAATTTTTTTCTCTAAAGACGCTTAAATTAAGAAATAATTCATGGAAGCCATAGATTTGTTGGACATTTACACATGGCCTGGGCCGTGATATTCGAATTTTATCCTGAGCGTTAGCTTCCATGAATTATTTCGATTCTAATAGGACAAATACGGTAATTTAAAAACTGAAGCGAACGTAAGATTGCCGTGTGTATGGCTGTTCTATTTTACCCCCTGTAAGATAAAAGCTACAAATTTCATATAAATCTAAGTCTTACATGAATTATTTCTCAAATAAGCAGTAGAAAAAATGTGTTCAATTCTCATAATTCTTAACCCAAACATTTATTTTTCGTTGGCTACTATTTACTGTCAAATCCAGAGTTGACATGTCGTAACTAAGGAGTGAGCCGCCATGTTGACTTGCTGAAATCCACAAATGTGCGAATAATGCAATGGAACAGAAAATGAAACAACACCTACCTCAAAACTCCATTTTAATGCAATATTATCCGAACTTAGGGAGTATACGTAACGGAAAACATTCAGCTTTAGAGTTTTCATTTGTATGACGTCATGTTATGACATGACGTTAATGCGCCAAGATCATTCATGAAATTTGGCGGAATTTTATTTTATTTTGATTTTATACATTTTTTAAGCTCTTGTGCATTAATTATTTTTGTTATGCAATATAATAGGAATAACGGTTCTGTAGTTTCTTTTTCAATTTCAATTTGGACACAACGAAATCGACATGGTTTCGTACATAGGTTACGATACATGTGGATTTATGTGGGAGGTAAATAGTAACAGCCACCAATATGCACATCTCTGAGTCTGCGCTAAGTATAGATATATCGAGAATTTTATCACGGTGTTGTTTACAAAGCGAAAGAAGCACGTCATATTAGAATGAATATTAGTCAATACTTATGCAAAGCTTTTGTAACAATGATTTTTTTTTTTATGTCATTTATGTACAAAATTTTTCCAAGCTGTCACTTAGTTTTTGTAGTATGATCAGTATAACATCAAAGATTTTGCTCTTTACATACAGTTGTTGCTTGATTGTTGTTTGCTCAACACATAATTTGTAATTCATTTTGTAAGGTTTACTTGATCGAAGTGAATGATCTTAGTTCATGTAAATATTGTAATACAGTATATGCCTGGATATTTGTCACTGGATATTACCAAATTGATCAGTTATGACCTTGACAAATCTAACTTGTTTAACTTGTGTACTTTCTGTTACAAATGTCTTAAACAGAATGTTATGATATATTGTATTGCTAAATAGATGTTTTATGGGATAAACGGGGTGTTCAGGAAAACCAATAAAACTGCAATCATGTTATTGCGCAGTCAAATTGCATTGACTTATTCCACTGACTATATATTTATTTCTGATATATAGTCACTGACTCTATAAGGGCTTGTTAATGATGTTGATAATGTGTTCCCGTAGAGTTTTAATCATGACATCAATAAAATATTAGTATACAGGTTCATCGAATTTTTCAGTCATCCTCTTCAAATTCAAAATTGATGGTTCTTACCCAAAATATTTCATCTAGAATAGTTGTAACAGTTGCAGCATAAAGAGAACAACCATATATTATCCCGAAATATAAAATTAATCTTATTTGTACTCTTTGAAACAGGATAAAAATGATCGACAAAACATGTTTCTAAGCCATGTACAAATCTATACATTGTACTACTAAAATAACAAGGTCCAATTTGTTAGCCGGCATGACGTAAAAACGATGAATAAAAGAATTCAACTTTCTATATAACTATTATGTGACAATGGTGTTGTTTAAAAATTAAACCATTCCAGGCCATTTTGTTTTCCACATAATTAATATTACCAATAATTAACAAGTTCTTTGTCGAATCCGAAACTGATACCAACAGTATATGTCACATGTAGTTTCCTGTTACCTTCTGTAAATCACTCCTCAATCAGGAGAACCTGGAATTCTTCCAGTATTTGTTTTCTATCTATGTGACACTATTTAACAAGTCTGTTTTCTTCCACCCCAATACCACTATTAATTTGGTTAATTAGTGAAAAAATTTTGTTTAAAGTAAGTTTATTGTAGTTTATTGAAGCAAGAAAACAAGAACGGGTTCAAACAGAAAGATTTTGAAAGCAGAGAAAACTGTGCACCTTCCAATCATCATGACTTTATCAGATGCGGCCCAATACCAATACTAAAAATCCAGGCTAAAAATAGGGCATAAGTACCTTAATTTAGTCACGGGTGTGTTTGAGTACATTTTATATTTTGAGACAATGTATAGTTAAATAAATATTCTATATCTACACATAAACACATTTGTATACAAATGTACATAAGAAGTATATCAGTACTTATTTGTTTATGAACAAAACATTGGTTTATGGTTCCTAATTCATTTCCAATTTATTTATTAGCAGATTAATATTATCTTTACTGTCATAATTATAAACATAATTATTTTGTGACAAAAAACAAAAACAAACATAATATAGCAAAGTGATAACAATTCTATACGAAATGAACACATGGTGAAAAAAAAAAAAGATTCTAATAACTGTTTTATTAAGGAGCCAACATTTTTAACATGTTCCATACTAGAGGTGTTTAACATTTCTTTTAAATTTTATACGACCGCAAAAAATTTTGCTTGCGGTCTTATATTGGTATCACGTCGTCGTTGTCTGCGTCGTTCGAAGACATTTGGTTTCCGGACAATAACTTTAGTATATGTAAATAGAAATCTATGAAATTTAAACACAAAAAGGAAGGTTGGGATTGCTTTTGGGGGTTATGGTCATAACAGTTTAGGAATGAGGGACCAAAAAGGGGCCCAAATAAGCATTTGTCTAGTTTCTAGACAACAACCTGTGGAAAGGTGTATGGATCTCTCTGAAATTAGACCACAAGTTTCCATACCACAAAAGGATGGTTAGGATTGGCTTTGGAGGGGTTATATTAATATTATTAATTTTAGCCATGATTATGTATGTCATTTTCTATTTTAAGAATTTTATGATGTATTTAAATGGGTAATTATGGTTGCAAACTCCATTGGAAATTTGAATTGTGATAATGACCATATCTTGAGGGAAAGATTTTTTTTTTAAAAGGGTGGGGGAGGTGAAAAAAAATTGGGGGGGGGGGGGGACAATTTTTTCTCATTTCAGAATTCAGAAATTATAAAGAAAATTTCAAATTTCTTCAAATATCTTCTTTTTTTTTTTTTTTTAAAAGGGGGGGGGGGGGGGTGTAAAAAAAAAAATTATGGGGGAGGGGTTATTTCGCAACAGCATAGTGTATTGCACAAAAGCAAAAAATTGAATATAAATTCAAATTATATAACTAATTTTAAGTTCTTTGACTACAGTTATTCTGTGTCAGAAACCTATTATGTGTCAAATATTTAATTACAATCCAAATTCAGACCTGTATCAAGCTTGAATATTGTGTCCATTTTTGTCCCAACTGTTCAGGGTTGGACCTCTGCGGTAGTATCCAGCTGCGGTCGGCGAAGCAATTTATTATTCTTTGGTAAGACATAAAATTATGAGAAGGTAAAAAAATTTCAAATAGATTATCCCTTAGTTTTTTGGTTAATTTAAATTCCAGGAGGAAGTGTTTTTTCCTCCTCCAGTACAATGTAAGTGGCACAGTTTACATATTCTATTTTATGATAGCGACCTTATTCTATTTCTAAATTATGGTCACTAATTTTCAACTTAGTGAAGCATTTTCTTATAGAAAAGTCATTGGAAGCTAAATAAAATTCTCTATCCAACATGTCCAAGCTAAGTTTAAATTTTCTATAAAGTAATATTTTACTATTTTCATCATAACTGCTTTATTCTATTTTCAAAAATATTTTTATATTTTTCTTTAAATCAATTTTTTTAATCAAGGATTTTAAGGAGTTTACTTCATTCAAGTCCCTACAATTATAACTGTATATAAAAGGTCCAGGTTGGGTGAAATGTTCTTGGCATATGTATACCAAGAATAAGTACCATGCGAGTCCAGCAGTTTTGACAATATAAATGCTTCTTCAAGTACCATAAAGGATTTATATTTTCAGAATTCAGTCTTACTAGGTAAGATAGAGACTGAACAAATAAAATGTTCAAGGGGGATTCTTCTTAGATCTGCCCAGACTGCTATATTTGAAGCTGTTTTTCTTGTGCCTTTCAAAAATTTACAAAAATTAATGTGAACCTTTTCAAATGGAGTTTTATCAATAAAATGAAAATTGATCAAAGGTTTTTAAATTTGATCAGCTCTTATACTAACACACACCCTGATCACAATCTTAAATTTTATTGATCAAGATACATTTGTATGTTTATCAATTTCATCACAATTAATGATATGTTTATATTAAGTAAACTCTTCTTTGAAATTGCAATGATTATAAAAGAAATAGTCCATAGATTTTTACTGGTATGCACATGATTGTAAATGTAAATTTAAACTATAATGAACTATTTGGTCTCTTTGTGATTTATAAATCTATTTTCAATGTAAATACCTTTAATTTTATTGCATGTTTTAGAAACATAACAGTCGTCAACTTTTGGAACAACAACATATTGATTTTTTTTATATAGCTCAAATTAGTATCTGGGCATAATGTCAATATTTTTTATTCTTGTTAGTTAAAGAGGGGGAATTAAGATTGATACATGTATATACATATATATATATAGAGTCTATAAGAATCTACCAACCAGTAAACTTAATAGGTATTGGATCATCAAAATTGACAATACTACACAAACAGGGAAAATTATATGAGTCTAAAAGATTGTGTAACAATACCGATAAATAGATGGAAAACAAAACACTCAAAAGTGTTGAATATCATCGCACAA